ATGCACCTTGGACACCCTGTCCCTGTGTATGACAAATAAACAAATTAACAAGGTGTTATTTTTATCCAGCTATATGTCGGCCTGTCAACCCCCTCCTCCCTGTTGGGGCATTAGTGTAAACCAGAGACTGTGGTGTAAACGTATATGATGAAACAGTGTCAAAGGCATCTTAACAGGTTTTACAATATGTACATTAGTTTATCAAACAGCTTAGTTTGCAGGAAACACAATCCTCAGTCCTTGCATATAGGGCTGCAAGTAACCCTTCATTTAAGTATTGATTAATCTGTCTCTTAGTTTTTTTAAGATTAAACGATTAACAGCTTGGTCTAGAAAATATATCAGAAAATAGTGAAAGATAAATAATAATGCTTTGTTTTTTTATTCTAAAATCTATAAATATGCAGCTTAATATGACATTTAACAAAAAAGCAGGAAATGTTCACATTTGAGACTAAAAACAGCATTTCTGCATGAAAAATTACTTTAAACGAATCATTGAATATCAAAAACAGTTGGCAATTATATATACTTTTGCTGAGCAGTTTTAGTCACATCCAGTTAGTATCTTTGAATATCTTTACTGTACGTATTTCCCTCCAAGCCAAGGTGGCTTTAGTCTGTATCTTTGAAAGATTCACATGTGTCCACCACAGACTGCTTAAACCTCATTAACTTTCCTCAAGCAGCAACACCCACGGTCACTGACAGAAAAACAGGCCAAACATGATGCACCTGGTGCTTTACTGGACCGATCAGGCAGCTGCAGTTTCTAATTAAAAAATACTTCACAAAGGAATTACAGAGACAGATAGTTTGCAGCAATGTGGACTTTTTCTATGTTGAAAGGGTCATTATATTATCATGGCCCAACATCACAAGGAGAAAGGACCAACCCTAGTAAGTAGTTCTGGGGTAAATAGGACAAGTAGGTTAACATTAAAAACAACCTACAAAGTACAACTAATTAAAAGAAATGCCTTCCAGTATATACATTTGACTTGGATTTCATTTGCCTTTGATCCACCTTCATTTTATTTTCATTTGTACTATTCCTAACCTTTTTTTAATACACTATTTAGTTTTTGTATATACCAAACTGCTTTATTCTGAAACTCTGTCTTATTTAGCTACCTTTGTACATCACTTTACAATGTAGATTTGTAAAAGTTGTCCATAAATAGATTGTTTATAATTGTTCATAAACATAGTCAAAGTTTCAGTCTGTGTGCTTCATTAGCACTGAGACCTGCAATCCCAGGAGAGTCTTTGGTGCTCATATCCACGAAGAAATAAAAAATGTCCTCCAGTTTTTGAGTTCACATTGTCTCGTTGTCTCTGTGACTTTCAAAGAGGACTTGCTCGAAGGACGAGGAAGGGACCGGACTGAAAAACTTGGTTGGTTTTGGAGGGTTCTGTTGGTATGGAGCGGGCCGGGGCCAACGCTCGTTGAACTTCACAAAGAACAGAGGGTCCTTGAAGGGCCCTCCAAAGATGATGGCCTGCATCAGGTAGACGAGGGCCACGACCATGAAGCTGATGAGGAAGAAGGGGATGAAGGGCCTGAGGTGGTCCCAGGCCACCATGACCCCGTAGCCCAGGCCCCCCAGCTGGGTCTGCTTCCCCGTGTGAGAGGTGTGGCGAGAGGAGTCCGGGGCCAGGGTACAATCGGGGGACTCGCCATCCAAGTTTGAAGAGGACGGACTGGGGACATCGAGGGACCCCATGAGTTACAAGTCAATACTGAGCAGTTCCTTTGCTCTTACACTGAGATCTTTGAAATTGCTGTCCTGCACACATCAGGTGTCACATAATCTCCAGTGGAGAGGTTTCCCGAAAGCAGACTCTGGTTCCGCCGATGAATCTGGTGCTACATTCCTCCAGACAAATGATTCCTCTGTGAACATGAGATAAAATCCTACTGGTCTTTTCCACCCCACAGTTTTACTCGAAAGATCTGGTGAGCTGGAGTTGAATGTTGCTGCTTCTTAGCTCGCCTGAGAGAGAAATCGAGAGTAAATGCAGAACAGCGGGGGAGCCCTAAATAGATATGACACCTAATGACAGAGCGAGGGAGAGAGAGAGGGAGGAATTGGGGGGGGGGGGGGGTTTGCAGGGTTTGGTCGTCTGAAATGTAAGGAAGGTGCGTGCATGAGTGTGTGTTACTTACCGACATTACACACATTCAATGACTAACACTGACATTTGCACACACTCAGCTGTGGTTTAAGGAACTAAAGGACTAAACCATTAATGTTGCTCTGCAGTTTACTGCAGCTCTAATAAAACTACACTGTGGCAGGTGCATCTATAGGACATAACCTATAGACTTTACACATCTTATGAGGGCCGGAGCGACGGTTTTAGATTTACTGGGTTCATGAGTCCCAGCAATGTACCCTTGCCTCTATACTATTTTTATTTAGCCTATATAGAAATATATTTCCCAACATCAATGGGGAAAACATTCTTAACAATGCAAGAAATTAATAACACAATTTTCGAAGTACACTGTATAGGCCGAGTGTGAAACCTAAAGGATATGTTGAAATGTTTGTCTTAACCTCTTAAGCACGGCGGTCCCCCCATTGGACCCCTCCCACCGTTTTTTTTTCGAGACATTGTCTCAGGGCTTCTTAACATTTATGAAACTATTAATGTGTAGCACCAGATTAACGGGAAGAATCTCAGCTAACTGAAGATATGAACAATTTTTACCAAAACAAAACACAAGTCTCATAAGCAGCGTCTAAATGACCCCTGAGCGAAAAAATTCTAACGCACTGCGGCACACAATTCAAGATAAAGATAAGATACTCTTATTACTTATCGTAGCTGCACATACAATATATCCGATTAAAGCTGAGACTCCACAGATTATTTAGGTATAGTATCATCACTGAGCGATCCGAACTTGCGACAGGGGAAGCAAACACAGACATCACAACACGTACCTTTACGGAGCATTTACGGCAGATCGTCTCACCGTAGCTGTCAATTAGGTCAAAAGACGTGTTCAATGGCATTAAAACGAAAAGAAAAAATGCTACAACTGTTGATCCATAGGTTGATAATGTACCTGTACCTTTTAAAAAATTATTTATAATCCATAATTCAATTTTTATGTAAAAATCGGAGCGGAAAAGTTAGCTGCTAATGGTAGCCACCAGAGTGTATGCAGCTTCCGGTTTTGGTAACGCGTCACTCTCACTCCTTATTTGTTAACGTTTTCGTGTGTATATAACTTTCCCTCGATTCCATTGGCTCTAGCGGTTATAAAGAGATTTCATTCATCAAAATCGACCAAGGGGGGCCAGAGATAGCTCAAATCCACCCAAATGACCCCAGAAGTGGGGTTTTTTGGCTAAATCTCTCTAAAAAGGTCAAATTGCAGTTGTTTTGCATCAATCTTGATACAGGGTACTTATTATATGTTGTACTTTGGATTCCTAAAGCTTTTAGTCTACTAACCCATCATCCAAGGGTAGTTTTCACTATAAGTAAAAAAGAATTTTTGGACGGACACTATAATTTACAGTTTTTTACTATGTAAAATCTGAATTTTCTTTAAAATGAAAAACATCTATATTGATTCTGACTTTTCTACATCCAACTCACAGGTTTATCATTACTTTGAGAATAAAGATTATTAATTTAACCCTTTTAGAAGGGAAGATATGGTAATTTGTTCTGGGAATGTCATTTTCGAGCCTGAGACCTGAAAAACAGGCTCAGGGCTTAAGAGGTTAAAGCAATACTCACATGTACTCTACATTTCAGGAGGTATTTGTTATTGTTCCTAATCTCCAAACTAGATGTGAAGAAAACATATCAATTATTGGGTTGTATGATCTACTTGTTGCAGCTCAGCAATCCATTTTCTGTGAACACAAAAAATATTCTCAAATATGATCTTATACATCCAGAATAGAAAAGAAAATGTGTCCATTGTATCAAGTGTTAAAAGGTGTCAAGTGAAGAAAGTAATGAATGCTTGGTCATATTTTTGAACTTCTCTTCTCATTATTTGAAAAAAGTGGGACAAAGGGAATACCCATGTTTATATTCCTCAAAGGTAATTGAAGGGCAACGACATTGATTGACCCAGCCATGATTCTTTGTTTCCAAACATTTTGTAAAACCAAATCCTTCCTTTTGAAATTGATCAAAATTGCAGAGACAGAAACAAATCTTGAAATATATGTGAAGTCTCATTAGAAACCATATAGTCATGGATTAAATACTTTCATAACTCAGAAAATAATGTACATAATAATTGATCAAATGTAAGTTTGTCTTCTGGATCAGCTTCTCAAGGACCTTCAATGGTTATAATTGCAGAATATAAAAAAGCACCTGTTGGTAAAACCACGAGGAAATGGGGATGACCCACAGATTATTAGCTTCTTTCTGAGTCACACACACACGGATCCTGACTAACATCAAACTTTCTCACTGACCTGCGACTACAGCCCTCGTGATCCAGCAGCTGCTTCTCAATCTTGGTGGGATGAATTTCACATGTGTTGCATAACTGGAATCAGCAAGACACTTTCACATCGTGGTACAACCCTCGCGTGTTTCTGCAACATGTCATGACCCTGGAAAACACACACACAAACACACACTCTTCCCTGCCAGCATGTGAAACCAGAGACAACAGCAAAGCCGAGAACGTCGACACTCAACAGTTCTTAAACTGTGCTGCGGTGTTGGAAAGTTAATTGGCTTTACGCAGACATGAACACGATAGTTAGATTAATGCGTTTGTGAGTTAAAAAAAAGGTGTGATGACAGAAAAGACTTCACTACAGATATCTTCACAATTAGAGCATCCTTAATGGAGCACATTGGTGTTAGAGGATGAATATCTCATAGTGTCAGGTCTGTGCGTTTGCCTTAAGAGTGAGGGATATGATTACTTTCCTCTTTTATTAGACACGTTTATCACAGCAGTCCTTCCTCAACACACAGCCACATAAATCACACGGTGCAAAATCTTGTCTAAGAAAAGATCTTTATTTATAAAAACAACAGTATTACCAGTTACATACTTTACTGAAAAAAGCAACTTCTCAGAGCCAAGGCCGGTATGAATGGTACATCATCATTTTACATGGATAGGCAACATTACAAATATACTGTGTGTGGAGAGTAAAAAACGAAACAAAACAAAGATGTTTGGTCTATTTTGCCTTAACAAGAACTCAGGGGGGAAACTGGGACTAAAACACATTGCATAATTCTCTCACCCACCACTCCCATACATACAAACCCGAAATAAAATACAAACAAACCTGACATAAAAGTGGAAAAAATACAAAAAAAAGAAGGTAAAAACAAATGGATTATAGACCAAAATGTGCTTTTGTCCACCTCCCTAATTAAATTAAACATCAGTATATCTCCCAGATCTGTCTGTTAAAACTTGAGTCTCCTTGGAGGGATTAGTGTCCCATATTTAAGTGTTTTCTTTTGTAAAATGGCACATCAAGAACGCCAATATGAACAGATATATTGATCAAATAAGAAAGTAGTGGTTTCTTTGAAATGTTAAGAGGAAATCATTATTCCAGAGAGACCCTCCCGATGCGTTTGTTCATTTCTAAATAATGAATAAACTAGGTATGGTAAGTTGTGTCTATAGCGTGAATATTTTACAGTAGAGCAAGGAATGTTTTCTGAAGCAGGATGTCAAAAATGTTTTAGTGGTTTATGATGTTACCAGCTTGTCATTTCAGAGTCAAGTCTTTACTGCTCTCGTCGGCTAAATCCAGACTGAAAATCCAAGACAGCGGCTAAAATTGTACATTTTTAGTTGGAAATGAAGGTTTGAAGAGTCAGCTGGTACATTAAACCAAACAAAGCTTTGTCACAGGAGTAGAAGCAAACCTTGAAAAACAGACAACATGAACAGATGAATTATCAACACATGGTCTTATGGGTCTGGTCCGTGCACACGCACACAAAACACACTCACTCCAAGGTCCATATTTCCACACACGCACACACACACGGCCACAGGCTTATTGTATGAGAAATATACACACACCTGCCCTTTTCTGGTCTACACCTGTGCTCATCCCAACCGAGAGAAAATAACTCTAGACAGGAAAATAACTCCCTATAAACATTCTCAATCTACAGGTCGGCCCAAAGCTCCCAACGGTCCCAGTGAAGGGACGATTTAAATTAATGAGCCAAAACTAATGCAGTCATCCCATTTTTCTTTTTATATACAGTATATACCCTACATTACTCTACGTACAAAGTCATCATCAGGATGCGGGTGTTGGCAGGACAACATTTACCAAAATGTTGGCGATAGCAAGAAAATAATAAAAACAAGCAAGAGGACAACACCGAAATTAAATGATTGTCAACAAAGGTGATTGCCTTTACAGGAGAATTATAATTTAAAATGTCATATACTTCTGCTGCTACAATTGAATGTGTTTGTAAAAAGTAGTTGTATGGTTCTGTACGGTGTGTTGCATGAAACGTTTTGCCTGCAACACGGCCACTTTTCTTTGGATGCCAACCCTTATATTCTGATCCCATCTGTGTGGTGATAGAGAAAGAGAAGAGGGGAGGGGGGGGGAGACGAGAGGGAGAGACTGTGCATCTGGATCTTCTCTCTTCAGTAGCAGTGGTAGGGCAGGGACGGCCCCGTCTGGGTGATGCACACTATCAATTTTTCTGGAGGAACAGAGCAAATTACGTCGATTAGAATGACAAATTAAAGCTGGTCATTTACAGGATAAACATGGAGGCACAACAGAGACTCATTATGTGGTATACGTATGGCACACTGCACATCACAATAACCAGGTGTTCAATAATACTTTAACAATCTAACATTTAATTAAAACAAGTTTAACTCAAGTTTGGTTTTCCCTGGTTAATTCGTTGTAATTCACATCAAGTTTCATAGTCGGCTATCCAAGCCTTGCCTGATGAAAACACTGAATTAAAAACACAATCATCCTATGGAGCATTGGTTCAAATGTGTATAAATAATCTCTTACCAGCCATGTACTACATTGTGATCAGAATAACTCAAAAGAAAACCAAATTAAATTAGATGCGTTACAATTTCTGAAAAATAACAAATAATCAAAGATGTTACTGGAGAGTAACCTCTCCAATATTAAGAAGATTAAATAATACAAAATTAAAGCTGACATGAAGTTACTACCCATTTCAATCAATAATCTTCCTGGCACATACTGTATGTTGTTGTAATACCCTGCAGAGCCACAAGAGCTCACTGAGGAAAGATTCTTCAGTCCTGGGAGTAATGGCAACATCTATTCAATTAAGGGCAATAGTACCATAAACCTGAAGGGGTGTGGCTATTTAAACATCACTTTGGTGTAAAGCTATCCGAAAAATATAGTGTTAATAAAAAGAAAGGCAACCCTGCACGCTGGCTCAATGCCACAAAGGTTCATTATTGACTGTGTTCAGAGTCTACTTGGATTAATGTTGTTCTCAATAAACCCATGTGGCATGGAGCAACATGTGAACAACACTGATGGTACTATACAAAGTTAAAAACAACAGAACTTGGGACAAAGATCACAAGAGTGAACATATTTGTTGCAACGGTTACAAAGCTGTTTTAAGGAATGTTTTTCACAAGAGTAATGTATTCTTGACATTGTGTAACTGTAATATTTCTAACACTAAAACTAGCTTTGGTAGCAACGACAAGTTCTGGTATTGTGACGGCACTACTGAACTTACAACAGTTTGAATTCTAAGGGATTAAAGTCTTAAACTAAAAAAGGACTGCATGGACCACAATGCATAAGGAGTACCTTGCACCATACTATACTAGCATGTACAGGTCACATAGGGGCATCATAAAGTTAAAAAACATGACAGTAAGCTACTTCAGTACACCATGTAGACAGGTTTCACTGAGGGTCCGGTGTCATCAGACAGAGGAACAGAGCTCAGAGTCCATGCAGGACGAGAGGTGAGTTGGACATACCATGCTGTTACATGCAGAGGGGGTAGAGGGGAGGTGGGAGGGCTAACCATCGTAGGAGTCCAACAGGGGCAAGGACCCCTTTCTGCCCCCATACACCCCTCGCTGAGAGACGACCAGAGAGAAAGAGAAAGGGAGAGGAAGTGAGTGAGAAAAGAAAATGTCAGTAAATGTGAGTTTTTTTTAAAGGCAACTGCCAAAGGAAAGATTAAAGGGGAAATGGGTTGGGTGTTCTGAAGTGGGGTTTGTGTTAGATACTGATCCAAGGTCTGTGTACAGTAGATGGGGGTCTACACAACCTCCAGTACGCATGTAATAGACACAAGCAAAGCAATGCACTGATGCGGGCAGCAGTGAAACCTTTTTAGCCAACTTGGTTAATTTTGGTTAGTGCAAAGTCAGACTAACCCACAAACCAATTTAGGAATTAGCTGACCCGTAAACCAGACCATTTCTGTCCAAAGAGTCTGCTGGCTTTTAAAAGAGCAAATATAGCTTTAGTTCCCCATCAAAAAGGAATGTCTGGCACTAAGATAAAGCGGTCAAATATTTTAAATATAGGGTAAACTGTTTTTAGGTAGGCCTTTTTTTTTATTTTTTTTATTTTTTTAAATACGGCTCAAATATGTTCTGCTGCTGCCTCCTTCAACGGCAATACATTGCATTGTTTCTGTGATCGTACTGACTATGGATATGTAGGATAATTACCTCACATAACCCCACTTCAAAAACATCCAAACTATCCCTATAAAGTCAGGAAATATTCATAATGGTGCAGGAGATTAGGGGTTAGTGAAGTTAAGTGAGCAATCCAACTTGAGCAGATTGTGTATTTGCGTGAGAAAGATTTAAGGTACCGGTAAAGTGTCTGTGGTTTCATCCAGAGTGTGTCTCCTCTCCCTCTGGTCCAGTGTAGAGTACGCCTCTGAGGAAACAAAACGATGAGAATGAGAAGGAAATCATACAACATCTCGTCATGATCTTGATGTTTTTATTGACAAAAACAGTGATGATAAATACTAACCAGGGCCGAGGTCATTTAGAGGAATCATGTCCCTCTTTTCTCCTAAGAGGAAACAAAACAGAGTCACGAATCAAACTAAACTTTCTTCTCAAGTTAAGACATTTGGAATACCATGAACTATTTCCTAACACCGACCTCTGTCCAGCAGTGGCATGGTGCTGTCTTCATAGGTGCCGTTGGCCCGGGTGCTCGGCCCGTTGGTGGCGCTGAGGTTGACCATGAAGTCAGTCTTCTTCCAGCCGTCCTTCTCCAGAGGCTTGCGGAGCTCCTTGTGTGCCCAGACGAGCTGCAGCACCTGGCCAGCCCCCCGCACCTCCCGCTCCGAGCGCTTTCTGCAGGACGCACAGAGAGACTCACACATTTAGCAAAGTGTTGGCTTTATATCTTGGCACAGTTGTCTTCAACAGCCAGTTCAGGCATTTTCACAAAGAGCTATTTAACTTCGGAAATGTGTGATCAACAAATCATTTTATTCAAATCCATCTTTGACTGAGGCTATTATCTAATCCAGGGGTGGGGAACCTCCGGCCTCCGGGCCGTATACGGACCGCGAGACCATTTGATACGGCCCTCGAGGTAATTTATAAACACAAGCAAAAAAAAAAAAATGTAGGCCGCAAAAAAGTGCCTGTTTTTCCTGGCCAAGGTCAGGGTTCTTGAACACAACACGAGCCTAACCTGTCATCACGTGGTATATGTCTCGACTGACAGGGGTGTAGTGCTGACAGAGAGCACAAGAACGCCGCTCCGACACTTCAAACATTGCAGTACCCACAAGGAGCCGTACACATGCCCCAGTTTTTGCGTGGCTGTGTCTTTAGTTGAAAGCCCAGTGGCGATCTGTTCATCTGTCATACTGATCATACAGTCAATAACTTTGCTGTTATTAGCATCTGGTTAGCTAGCTATGCTAACGAATATAAGAAGCTTTTTCTACAACCACGTAAATGTGCAGTGAGGCATATCTCTATATGATCCTTATAGTTATACAAAAATATGAGAATAAAGGAAAAACTGGTATAAAATACTATATGACAGTAAAACAAATTTGTAATAAACAAGAATAAAGTTTGAAAGGAGTGATTTGTAAAATATCCATAAAGAAAAAGAAAATCTGTTTACAGTTCTGTTTCATATGGCTGTTGAGAGATGTATCCATAGATCTCTTAATTTAGCTCTCAAAGTGCACCAGATTGATGCTTTTAACTTCAACATTTAAAAAAAAATCTTCCCGGGGGAGCATGCCCCCGGACCCCCCTAGAGGAGGTTAGGTCACCCCCCACTTAAATCATGTTCACATGGATAGGAAACTAAATACATTTGCACACATCTTGTGTCCATATCTTTCTGTTTTGGTGGTCATGCCACAACCGTGCACGTGCATGCGCGCGCGAGTCATGGTAAGATATCTGGATTAAGAGGTTGCTTTTTCTTTGCACAGCATGAAAGAAAGGCGAAAAGAATGGGCTGTGATCTTTGTTTTTTTAAGCAGGTTGAGTTCAATATTTTGTACGGCCCTCGGAGGATGTTGTAAAAATTGAAATGGCCCTTGAGAGGAAAAAGGTTCCCCTCCCCTGATCTAATCAGTCAACACAGTTGGAAAGCTGGAAAAAAAAAAACAGTTTTTTTTTCAAGTCTCAGCTTTGTTAAAGAATCATTCAAATATTTGTTTGCAATAACAGTAAGGTATGGAAATTGATTTTGTTATACACTGCTCAAGTATCTGTCTTGCCATCATAAAAGCATCGTTGTATATTAAAGATTAAATGTTGGGTTTGCAATAAGCTGCATCCTGAATGCTCCATTTTCTACTTACTCTATTCTTAGCTTATTTACAGACACTGGGTGTTTCTCAATCGCGAGTACGCTTGCTTGGTAGCACATGTCTGTCGAGCATCTTGCTTCAGAAGCGAGGCAAGAATACTTCCTGGCATTCGGAAAACAAAGAGTGGAACAGGCTAGCAAGTGTGCGTCATATGAGAGCCCCGCCTTACATTTTCCGCCACAGATTTGGGGAAATTGGTCCGTGCGCAAAGCATTGTGGGGATTTTAAGACCGCGGAGTCTACACATGTGCAGCCTCGAAATGTCTCCGAACGAAGTACGCCGGGCTCGGTCGATTTCCAAGTATGCTGGAGATTGGAACAGTACTTCGGCGGCACTCGATGACGTAGTATGCTTGAAATAGTGGCTCTGCAGCAGCTTTACTCGCGATTGAGAAACACCCACACTCACCCGTCCTTGTTGATGAGCACCAGCCTCTCGATGCCCTGTGAGGTTCGGAGAGTCTTTGCTGCATCCACACTGTTGCCTAGCACCTCAGTGAGCGTGCTCAGTACAGACACCACCGTCTCCTCCGATAGAGTTCGCCCCGACTGACTCTGGCCTCCGGGCAGGTTGGCCACGAGGTGAGGCACGGCGTGCAAACCTAAAGAACACATGCAGCGAGGTGAGAAAAAAGTAATACCAATGCAAACATCCAAAATCAAAGGCCGAAAACAAAGTCACACATCGTTTATAGTAGTAGGAATACATATAAACAAAATGCTGCAGGAAGTCCTGAAACACAAATGAGTCGGCATGTTTGCACTTCTGTTTTCCTCCTCTCAAAGTCAATGGTCTTCGATGAGATGCCTGAAATAAGTATGTTTTAAGCACAGCTTTTGCCCACAGAACAAGGGGCAATACAAACTTCAAGGTTGGAGGACAAAAGAGAAGTGCAAGCTATATTCTATTAGAACAACAGAGTATTTTGTAACTCATTTGGTAGCACAATACACATCCGTACCGAGCAGTTGGCAGTTGCGGTTGTCGATGGAGAGGTTCCTCAGAGCTCCGGACATTGCCCGCACCACGCGGTCGTTGCCATGAGCCAGCAGCTCCGCTATCATGGGGAGACCCTTCTCCAGACGCACTGTGGCCCTGATGTAGCGACCATACTGAAAACACATGGAGAAATGAATATCTTTTACATTGACAGCACACATTCCAGTAACTTCATGGACCTTTCCTACAACTAACTAATCATATTTGCTTCGACAGAACAAAAACAATCAGATTACTTTTCTGTGTTACTCTAAAATGCAACAAAAAAAAAAATCCCTAGAGCATTGATTCAGTTTGCTGAAAAAACGAAAGATACTTACAGTCCACCGGCCGGCACACAGGTTCTGGATGGCCCCAGCAGCAGCCTCGAGCACCGAGGGGTTCTTGCTCTCTCTGAGCAGCGATGTGTAAACACGGACCACCTCTGGTTGATACAACAGCTCGTAACCTGACACCAACAGAGAGAGGGGTGTTGGTTTGGATTTCAAATTTGAAAAAATGCAACATTAGTGCTGACCACATATAAGCCTTTTTCCAAACAATATTCCTACCAGCCCAAAGTGTTTATCTGTAAACACACATTTTGGGATGAGACTTGTATTATCTTAAAGAATGATCCCTTATTTATCTGATCAATTATAAAATGCTTTGAAGGGAAAGAGAAACGATACCTTTGGCAGGTGTTGTCCTCTTTGGAATGTCGACCACATCTCCGCTCCCATCATCTCCATCCTTCTTTCCTGCTGCAAGAAGTTAGATTTAAAAAAAAAAGGGAGAACATGAAATATTGATTTTGTGTGCAGCTGGTTGAGATAGCATTCAGTTATCCTCATTCCTTTACTCTGGCTCATTAGTATGGGAAATACAACCATGCAACCAGTGGAACAAGCACTGTGAACATGCAACGTTGTTTACGTGACATCAGGTGATCATGCTTATGAACGGGATGTGAAATCCTATTTATTCGACATTCTCAATACTCTAACAAGTACTATTTTCCATAAGTGAAATGAGTGATGACAGAGTGGTCAATACTTTCAAAAGTTTGCCAACACCAAGAGGAGAATCTTACCTTTTGAAAACCACTCATCTAAATACAGCAAAGAGAGAGGAGGTGAAGTGAAGGAGGGCAGGAAGAAAGATGGGGAGGAAGGAGGAAGAGGAGGAGTAGGGGGGAAAGAGTTGTAGAGTTTGAAAAACAGCCACAGGTGCTTCCACCACCAACAAGCTCAAAGCCACCAGCAACGCAACCACTTTTTCAACACCAAATGGACACAATGCAACACGCAGCTGTCTCACACTGACCTTTGCCCTTTCGAGAGCCGAAGCAGCCCCCTTTGTTGGCAGGGACCGGCCCCTGGTTAACGGGCGCGGTCTCAGCGTAACGTTCGCAGCCAGGAACTTCACGATGAACGTGGTAGGAAAGATTCCTCAGGAGGCAGACACAGTTCTCCACCAACTGCAGGGCGAGAAGAGAAGATCAAAATGGAGACAGAAGTAGAGAGCAGGGGGCGGGAAAATCTGTCAAAACTGAAGTGAACGGGTACCTTGTTATCCACATCTTTGCGGTTTATCTGTGACTGGACAACATACATAAGAGAATCCACCAATCCTGTGCATTCCCGCAATTTTCGCCGGGCCTCGCTGCGTTCTGAACTCACATTCCTGCCGGACAGAGGGAGAATTTTAAGCACATAATTGCATGCTTTCCATTCAAAATAGCTATTTTTCTTCTTTGACTTTGTTGGCTTTTAATCCATTGAACCCTTTGCATACCTAAGGCAGCCGGCAGTGTTGGTCAGGGCGGTCTCCCACTCCAGATGGCGAGGCTTGCAGCTCTCCTCCCCACCGTGGCTCGCTCGCTCCCAGCCGGAGTGAGGAACGACCACCTCGTCGGCGAGGGCGTGCAGGGCGTGGTCCACGATCTCCATCTTTACCGAGTCGTGGGACGAGAGGTTCCACAATGTGCCTGGGACGAAATAATAAACCTTGTTACCCTCACCGCAATGAAAAAAAGAGTACGTGGCCCTTCAAATAATTAATAATAACTAAAGTGACTTAGGGCTAAACTCATTCCTTAAAAAACTCCATATTATACATTTCAGAAAACACTTTTTTTTTTAAACCCAGAGTATAAAATGGCACGAAATGGGTTAGTGCCAATAGGAAAACCAATTAATTCACTTAAAGCGACTTTTCTTATATTCTCTTGCTCATGTTTATTATTGCTTTGCAATACATTTTCTTATCCGATAACATGTTTGAATAATCGGTAAAATACTCATTGCTATAATAATCAATAGCTGTAGTCATGATAAAACCTTATGTCTCATCCATGTTTGATTAAATAACATATTCATCTTATGTTTTCCCTTGAATAACTCCTTGCTACAACTCATAACAAAGTCAATAATAAAAAACACAATTGATCTACTCTAGCGTCACATGATACCTGTGATAGTGTCAGTGAGGTCCTGGTCGTGGGTTTTCCTCAGTAACCGGACCAGAGCGGGCACTCCATCGCAGTTCTTGATGGCGATCTTGTTCTCTTGGTCCCTCCCAAATGAAATGTTCTTTAGTGCTCCACAGGCCGAGTGGTGCACATCCTTAGTGGGGTGATCGAGCAGCGACACCAAGGATGGGATGCCCTTCAGGCGCCGCACCTCTGACTTAACCTAGACACACACAAGCAATATAAATCAAGCTGCCATCAAGGATTTGCCATATAGACACAATGCAAAAAACAGTATTCCATTATTTTTATTTTTTTAAACAGACCATTGGTTAAGTGACTTATCAGAGGTTGCCACACATTTATTAGATTTAAGCACCGAGTCATCCATGGGTTTTTCCTCAGATCAAATAACAGGCATTTCTTGCTCACCTTATCATTTTTGAATGTGAGGTGCTGCAGGAATGCGGCAGCGTTGATCTTGACGGGGTCCAGGCGGAAGTTCAACATGGCGATGACCTCCGGCAGCTCCGGCTGTCTCCATGTACCAGGCGGACCCTTCCTCAGCGTGCTGTCCAGTGAAGCCATGCTGCCCCTCTCCATCGTCATGGGAACGCCCCAGGCATAGGGGTCAACTCCAACGACGTCACCGTCCAAAGTATCCTCACAGCTCCTGCATGTAGCAGACAGGAATAAACAGAGACACATTTGTTAGGCGAGTTTCTAGAAACATATTCGGAGTTTAACATTAACTCAAAGCAAGGCAAGGCACTTTTAGCACATTTCTTACTTTCTTTACAGGTTAAAGCATTGAAATAAAAGCAAACCGGCAGTAGATTACTGAGTTAAACAATAAAACAAAAATGGGAAAGAAATATCAAACTTACAAGAACAAACTAACATTTAATTTTGACTATAACATTTAAAAAAAAAAGCATTACAAGCAATAGTAAAAGGTAGGTCTAAAGTAGAGCTTGCCTCATATTACTCACATACATGGTGTGATTATAAAACAATCAGGTTTTGCTTTTGTGTTTTACCTCAGTCTTCTTCTGTCCATAGCAGCGGGGCCGCGACCCAGGCCTGGCATGGTGCCGTAGCCCCCGGGGTGCATGGGTGGGGGCCCCATGCCGTAGTCATCATATCCCACGCTGCGCTGGTCGTCCTCCAGGCCGTAGTGGCCGTGGCCGTATCGCACCTCCAGCGCCGAGCCCAGGGCCCTCATCCCCCGGCTCACCTGGGGCTGCGCTGCGTACGGGTCCAGCTGCTGGCGGCTGGGGGCCCGGTAGCCTGAGTCCAGGGTCCGGTAGCCGTCAACTGGCCTGGGGGAAGAATGGGGTGAGGAGTGGTTAAGTGAGACTGTATTTATTAACCGTGTTTTTGATGAAGAACAACAACAGGGAAATATGCTTTGTGTCCACTCATAAAATAAAGTAAATGTACTGTATGGCTTGAAGGAAATAATTCCCGAACAAATAAATCATTCAGAGCACCATGTTCAGGGGTCTTATACCTGTAGCGCTCGTCCATGTGCGAGCCCCTGCTCAGGCTGGTGTATGCCTCTGATGGCGGGCCCCCCCGGTAGTCGTCATATCCCCCTACAGGGGCGTAGTGGTAGTTTCTGGGCACTGTGGCCGTGGGGTAGTCTGACGGGACAGCCTGCCTGTAGGAGCGGTCCAGTGTGGCGCTGTAACCCCCCATCCCAGACACCGACAAGCCCCCGTCAATCGACATGGAGTCAGAGGGCAGGACTGTGCGTGAGATTGGCTTCTTCATCTGCAGGAGAGCAACATGAGAACTGTATCAAAGTATGTTTAATTGCACAATCTGATATGCCATGCCACTTGGGGTCTCTCAAAATAACAAATTCAGCCGCAATAAAAAAGGGTTACATTTTGTGAACTTGATCCACACAAGCCTTTGTAGGCAAAGCCTGATGACCGCACGGTGATAGTTTTATAACCACTTACGCCATTATCCTGCCGCCGTGTGGTTCCCTCGTCAGAAAAGACTGAGTGCACTTCCTGTGAGTCGTCTTCTGGTGTGTAGCTCTCGTCGAGCGCGCCGTGTGCAGGGTCCACCATTCTGTACTGTATATGCAAAAGTTCATTTTAATCATTGGCTCTTTTAAGTCACTCGCTCTTACTGCTATAAATAAAGACAAATATACATTTTCATGAAAAACTACACAAAAACACAAACCTGTGTGCCGTTTATGTACGAGTCAATCAGTTTGAGTCGTTCTATGTCTGCATCACCTAAACGCCCGTTCTGGTAAGAAAGAGAAAGACACATGTGAAATTAAAATAAGAAATAAAGAAATATCTTACAGTTTAGCTGAGACACCATAAAAAAGTGAGGTCAAGGCATGATTCACAGTAGCTAATGCCGTCTACTTTCTTACAACCTCCCAGATGATATTACTGCTGCTGAAGCACATTCACTGCTGACCAAACTGTCCCTGCATGTTTATGGTCTGTGAATCACTGCCAGACATGAGGGAGGACATTTTGGAGTACAGCCACTCATCCTCACACCCTACTTCATCCTGCTGTATTCCGTTACATAACCAATGACTGTCACACTGTATAACTTGGAGGCTTTCTACCTAACCCTGAGTAACACTCATGCAATACGACCGCCTCAGCTATCAGCAACAGCCTCCAGCTGAACTACATGTGAACAATGCAATGGGGGATACTTTGAAAATCTATCCCCAGCAGGGAAAAGACTGTGTTACTACCCTGGGTTACTTTCAGTTTCAGCATTTCTTTCATACTACCGACGGTCATGACTGTAAAGGTTTGTGTATTTTTGCCTTACAATCACGGTCCAGTACACACGGTATGTAGATTGTTGCACATAATGCATAACTAAAGCTCACAAATGCAGGAGCTGTCGAGATACTTTTAGCGGTACACTGTCACATTGTGTATGAGAAGAAGAAAGTGCGTTTCTTCCCAGTTTACCATTCACTGCTTTACACATTTCCAACCAACAGATAAATGTTTCAGTGATTTGAATGTTTAATATGGTCAAGGAGAAACTGAATGAAACACACTTAATGCACAACTTTTATGTTGCATTTCATTGCTTAATTGATGCTTTTTCCTTCTATGTTCAGCCCGTTGTGACATGTTGCCTTTGGGGAAGTGTTTGTGCAGAGTTATATAGAAGTCTCTCTTCAATACAAATGGAAATTAACATATATGTATGCATTTTTTCTGCCGCTACTGAACTCTGACCATAACCGTGTCTCAAAAACCAGGGTTTACTGTGTACGGTTGCATTGACACTACAGACTATTACAATTAAAAACTAGGTTATGAACCTTATCAAACACTGACTTTCTCTTTTTATTTGCAGTATGTCATACTGCACTTTACATAATGTCCACAAGGAGGCAGGGTTGTTATTAACAAGCAATGTGAAGTGTACCTTTATAGCAGAAAAGGACACTTCCTCTACAGCTGGACCTTCCTATAATACCTGCTCATTTACAAACTCTTCTTCTCGTCAAGGCCAAAAACTAAGATAGTGTATCTTTAGCCTTCATCTTCCAGTTGCAGCACACTAATCTAAAACTTCCAAGGATTCAAAGAGACACAACATGATATCTAATCTATGTCACAGAGCCCTTAAGGAAGACAAATATTTAGGAATAGAGTTTAAACTAGTTTACTCTGTATGTCAAATGCAAAAAAACAAAGTGCTTAAACTGCCTGCCCGTCTTTGTTAATGATAATGGGTCTTCTTTAATTGCGCTTCACAAGCCTACAGACACCCAACTGAAGTTTATAAGTCTGTGATTGTCAAGCGTTTTGATAAATACAATGGAAGAAGGATACGGTAGGACCATTTCAAAGTAAAATAACTCTAGGAACTTGAAAAAAAAATAAAAAATACAATTGAGAAAATAAACAGCATATGAATTACATCAAGCCCAGTCAATGCATATCATTCCTTTGCGCAACCATACAAACACGATAAGCACTAGTCATTTTATTACACAACTTCATCAAGGATTTTGCAATATCATTGATGTTCAACCAACAATTATATGATTTCATGCAAACAAGAATACTCAGTCTTTAGCAAGAACAACAGAAGCAGTTAAATAGCTTGATTAAAACATTTAAAAAAGGAAAGAAACAAAATCCTTCAGGTTGAATGAGAAACCACGAGGGATGCAGGAGTATGCGACACATGCACGATAGATGACCACACGTGATAACACAACATGCTGGAGCAGAGCGGAGAATAACTGACATTCCTCAGCAGGGGCCGCTGAAAAGTGTATTTGTGTTTGTCATCCGGTGAGTGACAGCGAAGGCATGCCGGAAATGTGAGGGTGGCCATCTCAGGCATGTTAAAAGAAGTGGAACGATGCGCAGGGATGTGTTTGCAGATGGGGGCTGAGAGACAGACGGACTACAGTCGAGACGTTTCATCATGACTCACACACACACACAGACACAGAGTGGCCGGGCGCTGGTGGAAACGAGGCAGGCGGAGAAGGGATGAATGATGGATGGAGAACATTTGGAGGATTGGATGGAGCAAGTGATGATCCATTGATTGGAAGTTGAGTGAAAAAAAATGGGGGATGCAGATGTCAATGAGAGACTCTGGGTGGCGATGTTTGTTGGGGAGTGTTACCTGTGTGTGAGGGAGGGGGCGACCCAGGGTCGAGGGGCTGGTGGCGGGGAGGCCCACTCTCCTCCTCTCATCCTCCAGCGCCCGGGTCAGCTGTTCAAACTGCACCTCCTGCTCCCTGACCGACTCCAGCAGAGCCGCTGCGCTCTCACACTGCTCCATACACACTACACGGCCCCATGGGAGAGAGGGGGGGCGTTACTCACGTCCATAAAGCCTGGTACCGACTACAGCACAGGGAGAGGGTGGCTATGGAAACACAGACACACCTCTCCAAAGAAAGTATAGCAAGATTCGGCAGCTGCTGGATTGTTTTGGGCTGATAAAAAAAATAGGAAGGGCTATCAACTAAGGATGCCCGATAATAGTGGTATGACATTGGTATTGGCAGATACAAATTATAATATGTGAAGATTTTATAAATATGGCATGTTTACATGTTATCTGAGTTGAAGTTGTTTTTCTTATTATGCCCAGAGAATGTGTATATTTTATAAAGCATTGCATTTTATGTCTGCATCTGCTAGTGGGCCCTCACGATTACAGATGTTTTCTGCAATTAGATGAAAAAGATTTGTGTTGTGATGATCACATTTTGTGTATTCCTACTATTACACAATCTGATAAATCAGATTTGTTTGGTGACTGAGATCGAGATGTTTTCTTGGAACGGTCATCGAGGGATTTCACAATGCTTCAAACACAGTGATTAATAATTACACACCAACAGTAAAGGCGGGTTTCTGGCTAAACCTCAGGCAGGAAACCTTCCCAGACTACGCTTGTGTTCTTGTGTTCAAAGTCTGTTCCTTTGAAAACTTGTCATAGTGCAATGACTCATTCATTCAAGCTTTTCCCAGCACACAGACGTAAAAAGGAGGTTGACTTGCTCAAATGTCATGCTGCCGTTAGGGATACGGTTACATGAGCATGTCAGCACCGAATAAACCTACATTACAAGATGTGTTGAAAGAATAACTGCCAACAATGAAATAATTTCAGAGTGGCACTATGTGAACATAAAATAAAGTAGAATAATAATAGACTTCTCAACTGGTACTATTAAAAGCATAAATCACAGGACACATGATACTGTACATTTCACGTCAGACAGTAGACACTGTACGGGACAAAAGCTGTAGCAGGGGGGTAGTGATGGTGGAGGGAGTCTTTGAACCCTGGTTATTGCATTGATCATTAATATTTCAAGCAACAAATTGAACAAGATAATATGGAGAGAGTAATTGCAACATTACATTGATCAATACCACCATCCCCAACATGCAGATCAATAAAGCTATTGCCACTTAGGGCATTTATGGAGGCGTCCTCTAGGCTTTTCACCCTCTCATACACAACATTAAATACCGTCTTACAAACGGCAGACAAAGAGATTTTGGGGATAAATCCTCTGCAGTGTGTTGACTTTGCAAAGCAAAACACTGTTGGCATATTGACAGAAGACTATAAACAAAACCTCACGTTCCTTTTATGAGAAATAAGGTGTCTCGCCTTTATGTACATGTTTATTTTATGACATTTATATGCGATAATTGTGGTTTCCATAGCATTGGGAGGATGTTAAGGAATCACCATGGTCCTACATCATAAATTGAACCATTCAAGCGCCAATTTATAATGATAGAGACCTTCAGGGTAAAAAACACAAAGAGGACAAGGCCTGTTCAACATAAAGAGGAGCAACAATATATTTTGGAGCCTCACGCCAAAAACACAACATTTATTTCCAAGGAGAGTTAAGCACAAACATACTATCAAAGCTCATTGCAGAGAAGATCTGAAATACACACCTTCACCTTGGGCGTGGTTTGGTAGTAGAGGTGAGAGATCACACCAAGGTCAGAGGTTGAGCTCTAGTTGCTCATGAGTAGATGGTCAACGAACCACCAAGCCCAGAAACAGGAGGAATGGACTGCAGAGAGAAAGGGGAGGGAAGAGGGGAAAAAGGGAGAAAGAGAGAACTGTTTGAGATTGAAAGCACCTCGGGTGGAAAAACAGCAACTTGGTGAGAATACCGTACAAGTGTGTCAATAGGAGTGTTTGCTTTGTGAGCAGAAAAAAAAACACAGCACGAGACAGAGGCATACAGTAGCTTCAGCCTTTAGACACACCCTGTATTTACTCAACATCTGGCCTGCGTACGGCAGCAGGCTGTGGGAAGTTGACCAAACCTGCAGCTTTGTCTGGGCCAGAGAACATCGACCGTCAGCATAAAGAGAAAAAGGATTTTAGAGATAGGAACATTCTTCAAGAACCATATGTTTTCTTATCGACTCGATCTTTTATTCTCCTTCTTAACCTTGCATTTTTTTAAAGTACCCAGCCTTTCCTCTTTTCATCTACTTCTGGCCTAGCTCTTTCAGTCCGCTACTCGTGTTCGCTCAACTCAACTGCCTTTTATCCCTCCCCCTACGTCTCTTTGTTATCTTGGCTGGGCTCGGAGAAAAATACATTGTTATACCGGAGCCAAACAAGTGGAGACTCAGATCCTCTTATCTGTTGATACACTCTTTGCTGTAGCACCCTGGCTCCTCCTCGGCCCTGGTTTGAAAGGTGAATAAACACAGGCATTGCCACCCACACACCTGCATGACCGGTTGGACAAGGTAGAGGAGGGGCGACTGAATTTCAGTTTCTAAATGGCTCTCTCTGTCTCCCAAACATGCACAGATGTACTCTTCTGACAATCTGGTACAGAGACATTTGGGCTGCAAACAAGGACCTGCATTTATATTTCAGGCAACAGGTGTTTGTGTGCACGACAGGTAGTGTTAACAAGCATAGGTGTAATAAGATTATGTAGAGATGGTGACGAATGACTCACAGTTTCACCTGCATCAGATTGTGCAAACGAATTAAGAAGACAGACATGGTGATCGCACTGTTTAACTGATAAGACAGACTATTACGACACCATTTGGCTTGTAAAATGAAGCAGGGAGAGGCTGCGTCTGATCCTGTATGTCGGTCAAATTAATGACAAAGAAAACATTCCCACACTTATATTACTTGTGGTTTCTCTTGGGGTGTTCCCAGTGTGGGAAAAAAGGGAGGAAAGTAGGAAGGCTTGAGGAAACAAGGAGTGGCTGCAGTTTATTTCGCAAGACAAAGGAATTTGTCAGAACCAAAACCAGGATTTGCATGCGGGCTAAGTCTGACTGACAGGAAGACATGATGTCACACATACACACACTCCCACTATCCTTTGCGTAGTGGCTGTGGTGCCCCAGAGCTATAACCTCCCACCTGAGCAAATCACACACCGCAGTCCTGAGCCACAAATGCCTATATATGGTCATAGCCAGGACAGGGCTGATATTATACCCTACAGAGAGACAGACAGAGATGAAGAGGCCAAGAGCTGCAAACAAATCAAGCAAGGAGAAAGACAGGCAGTGAAATACACAGGAGTGTAAACTGGAGCGTAAGAGGGGGGGTAGAGATAAGGAAAGGAGAGCTGAATAAAAGATAAAAGCTAATCTTGCATTCCTACCATTGTCTCCTGCCAATTCAGCAAAGCAGCCCTCCCACTCATCCGCTGTAAAGCAACCTAAGCAGGACACTGGCTAATAACCTTTAGTGTTCTGTGTTGACCGATAAAGTTTTGTCGAGTCAAGTTCACTGGTCGCAATTACCCAAAGGAATAAACTATTTAAATGCATTTCAGCTGAGATCTTTCCTTAATGTTATGCCACATGTAAACACAGACTGCCTCGCTCCTCATGTAATCTCAGTTGGAACAAATAATCATCATATACAGGCTAACCACTATCGTGTTTCACTAATGAGTGCAACTGTCATTCATGCAAGATGAATGATAAACTGTGATTGATATTTCTTGGCAACTGTACTGGGGAATGTGATTGTAAGTGTGTGTGTTTTAGCCACAGTCAGAGGAGAGAATTTGCAGCTGTCAGTCTGGGAGGTTTTTGAAACAATAAGAAGTTTGTGCAACTGAGAGCATAAAGGCATGTGTGAAAAGAGATGGAGAGCAATAATTAGCATTTGAAACATTTGAGTGCCATTGCATCTGTTTGAATGTGACTGTCCGGGGTCAAGTTAATGTCGCTCTTGACTTTTGTTCTCCACACGTCTTCCCCTCTCACAGCTGTAAGTTTGGCCTTGAAAGTCAGCGGTTAGTTTCGTTGAACAATGAAAACAATCAGAGCCGTCCCATTACCACTCCCTCCCCTTTCCCCTCTAACCCACTTCCTGAGAAACAGGATGTTATGGATTGGACATCAGAGATGAGTAAAGGGACGATGCGGCCACTTAAGCTCACCAGAGACCATCTTCCTCAACAGACCTGCTTCTATGCAATACCACAAGAGCCTATAGGAAGTACACTTTAATTAACCACCTTCTGATGGTTAAAAGGAAGTTTTTGCTGTGAAAATTCCCTATGCTCAATATGCTGATCACAAGACCACAAACCATTTCCCATTTTGCTTATATTGTTCTCCATCCAAAGTTTTCAGTTCTGCTATCATGACTTCTCATAAAGTATCCATGTGAATTTGGCAGTATGAGCTCATTTTCATAATCTTTTAATTAAAGTTATTATATTTAGGTTGTTCCCTAATTTCTGAATATTCATACCGGAAATAAGATGTATTGGTCAACTAGCAGGTAAAATCTATTTTGATAACTGATAAGTCATACGATTGAAGCTAAAACGTTGAAATATTGGCTGGTTTTAAAGTCTCGGATATGAAAAGGTTTGGTTTTTTTCACTCCCTGTACAATAATTGATTATCTGTAGGTTTTAGGCTGTTTATCAAAGACAAACAAGTTTTTTTTCCAATTGTAATAAAGAATAACAAAAATAAATATTAAAAACCATACTGATTTGCTTTCTGTCCTAGATATTTTCAAGATCACAAAAGTTTATTTCAGGTAAAGAAATGGATCGAACCATGTTATACATAAAGATCATAAGCCTTCCTTCAATCCACATGTTAAATGTATCATGAGCAGCAAACAAAAACACAGTGAAAGACGAACATTTCGCTGTCAAAAAAATGACGCCAACAAATGGTCAAAAATGTCAAGCATGATGCCTTAAGGTCAACTACATACACATACGCTTCAAACATCTGATCGAGCCCCGACACAACACGAGTCACATATCTACATCTGATTTTGTGGCCATCAGTCAGCATGAATCACTCAACCCTGTCAGAAGACATCCGAGATCATATGCACACGTAACCAACAATGCAGTCTTTGTTAAGTTAATGAAACTCTGGTTACTTCAATAAGCCCCTACACCTGCCATCATCAGCAAAAACTCCCACTGAAACAACACATTCACTGTCAAAGAGCACAACTGTTCGTGCATCTCGAGGTCACAGACACGCTGTTCGCTGATAGCTCAGTGGGATGCCACCGGAGCTGGTTTAAACTGAGCGTGGTTTGTAATGGGATTGAAGCTTTAGCCAGCTAATCCACTTACCTCCCAACACATACACACATGACGTTAACGTGCACGCACGTACATAGACAAACACACAGGCTAGGCCCTTTGTGGATTAACCTGCACACCTAAAGGGAGCAGACACAATTACAGTCGGCGTTGGAGCATACATCAACAATCAAACAACGACTTCGAGACAAGTAGTCGAGAAGGGCTGATACCTGTGTGATCAGAGTCACACATGGTGTTATTAGTGGTGGGACCTGCATCACTTTGAATTAACTAGAGCCCTGGCCCAGTGATCCCTACACACATGCTGTACACAACATAAACCACAATACAACGTAAAGACAGTAGAGAATACACTAATTTACACTGAAATGTGTACCTGCATGTAGCACATGTTTACAAGAGAAACAGCTAGTTTATTTGTTCACACTGAAGCTGACAGTTATCCCCACCCAGGCATTTTCCTACCACAACAAGTCCACACATGACCCACCCAACAGGTTCACAAGGACAAACTTAAAAGCCAAGCCCATGAGTGATAGACTCCTACTACTGAGGACCACCACCCTTACACACACACTCAAATACACAAAACAGGCTTAACATTTAAATGCGCTGTCAAACAAGTTGTTAGGTTTCCAATAAATAACTTTACTTGGAATATGTATTACGATACAAGTAAAATAAATGCTGCTAAAGGAAAAGGATAAATGCACTAGAAATGTAAATGTACGTAGTAAACAGCATGCAGAATGGCCCATTTCAGAATAATGCACATTATTGTATAATAGTTGTTCACTCACTTTAATGTTTGCTGCTGGAGAAGGTGGAGGTTATTTCGATTTATAAAATACTGCTAGGTAGTTAGAATTTTTTTTTTTTTTATAAATAGTTTATTATAATTTGTAGTATCTTGCAAAATACATGTAGCCGTGTAAACCTCACTTTATGTAAACATGGAGTGGAGGATAAGTTAAAAGTACCTTACATTGTAGTTAAACTACTCAATGCTAAATACACTTACAGTTTATCATTGCTTAAAATACACTCTTCTCTTTTGGGCCTCCTTACCAACGATAAGCGTCTAGTTGTGGAAATCTACTTATCTGCTTAAACTGATAAAACGGTCTGCTTCCGATGTAAAGACGAGCTCTACTTCAGTGCTGTAAACCCGCCTGGCCGTCACGTTGTCATGCCACTATATTCCCTGTTGTAAGTCCAAATAACTGTTAGCATTCCCCTGATCTAGTTAGCAAAACCCCACAGACTGTCGTAATTGATTTGCTAACGTAATATAACAAGGTAGGGCATGAGCAAAGAACAGCGCGTTGGCTAAACCACAATAAGACGTGGGTATAAAATTACTCTAACGAACAAAGACCTGGATATTTGAGCGTTGGCTAATTTTTGTGAATCCGCTAATGCCCAGATAAATGTTAATGTTTGGGGAAAATAATTCAGCCGTTAGCCAGAAAGCTCTCCACTCCGCTCCCGTGTGACCTGGTTTGGCTGTCTAGCTACGTTAGCATCACAATAACCTACATACTGAGAGGCTAGCGTTAGCTTAGCAAACACAGATTAGCCGCAAGTTAGCGTGTGTTTGGCTAAAGGGGCATTTGAAGCTAATTTAGACGGTATTCTCAATTTCCTTCAGTGGTATCTAGGTCTCTTGTGAATCAGGTGTAACAGTGTGCACGGTAGGCTACGGTAACGTGGGCCTCGGTATGAACTTTTCACGTTAGCATCGTTAGCATCGTGAGCTAACGCTATCTAGGAGAGTCGTGTTGCTGATCTGTCGATGATGTGACCACTCCTTGCCAACGCTGCAGTGCACCCACTATCTGTGAAAAACAGAAAAGAAACACTCGCCCGCCGCTGTATCAACCATCTGGTAACATTTATGAATTAACTCACCTTGCTTGTGGAAAACCTCTGCGGACCCCTTACAGACTATTCCGTTTTTTGTGTTTTTTCCCCTCCTTCCCTGGGTTCTGGGTCAAGCTCTTTAAAGACGAAGCGACATCGCCGAGTTTTCTATCAAAGAGAGGGCGGGATCAACAATCGGCTTTACCGTAAATACGGCGCAAGTAGAATTCCTCTTCTCATACAGGTGTTTGTCACACGTTTCCAGAAGGGCGCAGTTATTCAGTATACTGGGAATATAGATAACGCTCACACGAACTTGCATGAGCAAGCATGTGAATATAAAAGACGAGAAGGGGGATTTAAATTCTGCTGCACTAGTAGATAAAATAGGCTTCCTCCCACCACCTCCTCTCTCCTCCCATTTATTTCCGCCTGTCGCTCCCCTCTCCCTCACATTTACACGCACACACACTGATGTCATTTCATTGATTGCCCAAGAACAATAGCCTGAGAGGAAGCTGCATTTCTTAGGGAAGTTCAAAAAACGCATTTCGCATCAACATGAAAACACTTTTGGGCACATTAAACCACCACCAGTTACCATCACATCCTCTGCATGTGCCCGGTCAGTAAATAGTTTAATGGTAAACAGCCTCTGCAATCACTTGATTTATTGGTATAATGCTTGACCACCAAACTATTTAGGAATCCCTCCTAACTCTAACTTTAGTGTCAAACTTTACGTTTCCTCTTGATATTACAGTAATTATTGAACTTTTAGTCCTGCCTATTAGTGTTTGATATATTTCTGACTTTACAGAAGTTATGGTGAACCAAAAGCCAAACAGATGGATGCTGATAAACAATGATTTAGTGGGCAGGGTGGAAAGAGGAACAATGCAAGGAATTTCCCCCAGTTTCCTTACGAGTCCCCCACAGTGCCACAGTATGAGTAAACCTGAGTCACAATGATCACTGGGAACACAAACAATGCTGCACCCTAGAGGGGCAAAATGAAAGGTTTCTTGTCGGACATTAAAAGCTGTTAAACAAATCCGTATTTATTTATAATTGCATATGCAGATTACAAATCCACAAACAGAAACCACAGTTAAAGTATTAATGACCAGTCTTTAACCCTCTGGGAAGTGCAAAAGCAGAGAAGAGAGCTGAAACAGAGATAAAAGTGGAGGTAGTTTGCTTTTTAAATTATACACACACATAGAACAAAATAAAACACATGTAAATGTCTCTCTTCCTTTAACAGATATTAAGCTTACAGTAAGAAACACATTTTTGATAATAAATTATAATGTTGAGTTTGATTATTCCAAATCAAATGATTACTCAATGTATTTGGGATTCTTTGTCCACTGTATGACTTTCATAACTGTCAACAATAAATTAGCATCATAACATGCTCTGTTGTACCTAGGGTTTGGCGCTATGGCAATATAAACAGAAATGTGTGAATCATATCATAATTCATAACCTGATCATAACTGGATTTTTCCAGAACATAAAACAAATGTGACCCCTTTAGTATCTTTAGTATCTGTAACATTTGCAGATAAATGAGCAGAACTGTCTTATAGACAGACAGGGCTTCTGCATCAGTGTGATACCTTCTAGTGAATATTTTTAATATATCGTTGAATTCATTGGATTATAGATAAACAATTTTTCTTGAGTATTTACTATATCACAATATATACTACAATATAAAGTACATTGTTATCCAATGTCCAAATCACGGTTGTTCACATGGTTTCCACTACAGTTTACAGGCATTTGTGGTGTAATATTATTTAACATAGCAAATGCGTGAGTCTTTAATAATGAGCGTATCTTCCACATTGAATGATTACTTATAGCATTAAGCTATAGTTGTATAATTTGCAGAGTTGGCTACGACAAGGTAAAACATTTTAAAGTATTTATCAATTTGATTAAAATGAAGGCACTACTTACTCCTTGAATTATGAAAGAGTCATATATTTGTCTGATTTTCAGATGGTATAAAAAAAGATTAATACAAATCTATTTATTTTACTGGGAAGCTGACAACACATTAGTGTATCTGTAGTTTATGGAGTGCATTAGACCCACTATAACTTATTTTGGCTGTGACAAAAATAGAAACAAAAGCACACGAACACAATGCAGCACAGTCAGTAAAAGTAACTTCTTTAAAAATATAAAATGTCTTGTTAAGTCTTTAAGCCTTTGTATCTTTCATTGTCAGATCAGCCCATTACTGATGTGTGTGATCATGTGTCTGCGCAGGTTGCTGGGGTTGTTGAAGCTGGCTGTGCACTGGTTGCACGTGTATGGCTTCTCTCCAGAGTGAGTCCTCAGGTGGATCTTCAGGCTGCCATTCTGCGTGAAGCGCTTCCCACATTGATTACAAGCGTACGGCTTCTCCCCAGTGTGAATGCGCATGTGGATGCTCAGCGTGGTCTTGGAGAAGAATGATTTGCCGCAAAAGGTACAAAGAACTGGCGGCTCTCCAGTGTGACTTGCTCTATGCAAAATCAGGTCTTCACGGCGGAGGAAGCGCTCACCACAGAATGTACAGTCCAGAGATTTGTTGATGCCGTGAGGGTAGATGTTTGGCTGCTGGGTGAACTGGCTAACATGACTGGGCTGGCCCACAAGAACATCACCTCCTATTATTTGTGTTTCTAAAGCAGGATTCAATGCTGTTGAAGCCAGTTGAAGGTTTCTGTTTTCCTGCATCCCTCTCATCGGGACTCTGTCGCTGGCACCTGTGGTGAAATTCAGGAGACTGTCATGGTGGACGTTGTGGTGGGGAGACAGTGAGATAAAAGCCTGGAGTTCAGAGGCAGTGAAGAGGGTGTCACTCTCCTCCTGCAGAGGCCCTTCCCCTCGTCCGTGAACACTCACGATTCTCAGATCCTCATTATCATCCGTCAGGCAGGAGTCCAATTTCGGAGTCTCTGTAGAAACACCACCCTGCGTACTGTGGTTTCCAAAGTCATCCTGACCTAAAAGGTCAAGTCACAAAAATACATCATGAATCAGTTTGTGTATACAAATCATTGCATCAAGAACCTAAAGTAGCTTCAACAAAGCAAAGTGTGATGTTAAATACCCACTATAGGTTAAAAACAATGAGTAAAGTCTACCCAAAATTCCCTTCCTCTAGAACAGAATCAGCCACGTATGAGTCATGGCTGAATCATGCCACTCATCATGCCACAATGCACACTGTGTTGTAATAAATCACCTTGAAAGCTTACTCATTAACCCATCAACAAATATCCAACCTGACACATGCTTTGAATATTTTAAAGCATGCATTAAGTAAAATAATTAAAAGTTCAAGTGATGATGATCTGACTTGACAAAGTGTACAGTGTTTGAACATAAATAAAAAAGGTAGATTGTAAGATTTTAAGTCAATATCAAAACTCTTTCAAAAAAACTTCTGAGGCAGGATACTGAAGGCTGTTTTCTTTCAGCAGTGCCAGACACATGTTAATTTAAGACTCAACATAAACAAACGTTATAGTCACTATACAAACACAACAAAATTGCATTTGCATCTGCTTGGGATGGTGCATTATATTGATAGATACATATAATGATTAATATTAGTTTAAAACAATAAGGATGAATAGAGGTCAAATATAACGGTCCAAACATCAAGTAGTTCCAGTTGAGGTGCGGAATACTATGTATGCTAAAAGGTTTCCTTCATAAATATTTATTTCAACAAATCTCCAGAAAAGTCCATCCAATATTTAATTTGTAAAACTAGCAATACCATCTAAGTATTTTTTCTGTAGCTACTGCCTTACTCTCACATCTGATAACAACTCACCTCCAACTCGCACACATCCTCCCACGTCTTCTTCATCTTTGATCAGGATGACATCTGGTGTCTCCACTGCACACTAACCAAAAATAATACATATGCATGAACAAAATCAAAATCAAACAAAACTATTATTTTCTGGAATTCTTTGAAGTGTACTAACCTCGACTTGAGGGGCAGGGAAGGAAGGCTCGTTCTCTGATTGAAGAGCAACAGTAGAAGTTTCCACAACAGCTTCCATCTTTTGTGGCATTGGTGGCTTAGTAACCACTAAAAGGGGAATAAAAGACCAATAACAAAAATATTAATACAAGCCTTCTTAACATGCATATCACGTATGAGATATTGAATAATGTATTGTTGTGTGTTTTGAAAAAGTATATTTAAACGGTGTATCTATGTTTCAATGTTGTTATTACAAAAATACATGCCAAAGTTATTTCTAAACTAGGTACCCTTTAATTGTGCTTAAGCCATGTTGTGTGCCATCTTTATTATTGTATGTTCTGCTTGTGCACCATAACGAAGCCGGATTACGAAACAAAAGGGCCCCTGGTCACAGATGAGCAAAAAGGCCTCACTACATCTACTACATTGGTGCAAAAAAACACAGACTTTATAGTTGTTTAGTCTCTTATTGTAGTCGTTTTGTTTCACGTTGTTATTGTTAAACATTTCTCTGTGGTTTTGTGTCTTTTTGTGCTAATTTCGAGTTGCTTTGAAATTGCTTTGTGTCTCATTGTGGTTGTTTTGATCCTATTCATAGTTGTTAGTCTCTTTGTGTCTCTGTGCAGCTGCTTTTCATCTCTTTGTAGTTATTTTAGTCTCTCTGTAGTCGGTTTGCGTCTCTCTGTAGTTGTTTTATGTTTCTTTGTGGTCATTTTGGGCCTGTTCCTATTCGGTACATTAAACTTTCAATTACATTTTGTAGTTCAAGGCCAGTGGGGCTCCGGACACATTGGTCCCCTAGTCTGTTCTCGGTATTCAGTAATCCATCCATGCTTGTAAGCCAAATAAATTAAAAAAAAAGTGATATCTTCAATTTGCCATAAATATACACAATTTAAACCAGTCATAATACAGTTAAACATGTCATGCACAGTGAATGAGATGAGGCTTATATTAAGAGACCCACTTTAGGGCAACCCTTGTTGATGTGGACTGTCACGTGAGGTGGTAATGAGCAGTTGTTGACATTTTATAATTGTAGGCTGGGAGAAATATCAAAGCACTTTTTAATTAAAAAATCAAATAATATATTGGTTTGAATCTGAATTTAACAAAAGCAAATTTTACATTGAAACCTGCAGGAGGAGACAACTTGTTACTCGAGTAGAAAGTATTTAGAGTTACCGTGGGATTTAGCCCGGGGTTTGGGGGTGTATCCTCGGATCGGGGAGAAGCGGCTGACCGGCCGGTTGGTCCTGGTCTGCAGCCGGAGGGAGAAGAGCTCACTCCGGGTCACCTTCATCCTCATCCTCAGCGCTTCGTTCTCCCTCAGGCTCT